ACACAGTAGTTGCTGCCATCTCGGAACACCAAAATATCCTAATATCCAATCTTCTCTCAACCCAATGAGTGCTTAAAATTACAATAGCTGCAAACAAGGCTTTGAAATATTACGATGATCATGTTAGGCAATTCAGCATCTAATGTGTTTCCGTGGATTTCAGAAGATTCCCTAAAATATTAAGTAATCAATATCAAAAGGCAAACCAATTGATTTACAATGGTAGTTATTCTGATGCTTTTTAGAAGTGACTAGAGTAGGCACAGCAGAGAACTATGGATTTTTTATCAAATTCATAACATATGCAGTCACTTAAAAATAGAAACAGCATTCACTTCTGCAAATAAAAGCAGATCTCTGTGTGTTAAAGTTAATGGTCCAGTACAAAAGGAAAACCAATGTAAGCAAAACTGTTGAAAATGCACAGAAAGGAAGAGAACCCATTTTATTCCCTTCTTGATATGTGATTTGGAAAGAGTTGAGGTAGCAGGTATTCCTAAAGTTGGCTTACAAGATTAATGTAAACTTAATCTATCGAACAAGCTACATCATTTTCACACATATTTAGATTAAGAAAACACCTTCATAAAAGAAGGTTAAAACCAGAATGGTCAAAAGTACAATAGTGTTCAGGTGCCACAGAAACTACTATTCACTGATAGCAATAACACAAAATTAAAGAACACACTCCAAATTAAAAACCCACTAATTTTGCCAAAATGAGGTATTTTGGCTGCAGTTTCACCTTACATCATATTTAGCTATTCCAAACCATTTAATTTCAATTTACTTCTCATTACCAAGAGGGACAACATGGGCTGCAGCACACATAGGTGACTCAAGAGTGGGGTTTGGGAGCTAAAGGAGCCCTTCACATAACATCTTTCATGATAGTCCACAATAACTCTTATTGTTAATATTCTCAACAACCAGAATGAATTAATAATGAAGAGGTATGAATTAAAGCCATATAACCAGTGATTAATTATATGGATTTACAGGAGTCCTTTTTTTTTAACTTACAAAATATTGTACATCAAGTGACAGACATTTGATATTCTAGACTGACAAAAAAAAAGCAAATAGTGCCTCTGCTGAAGCTAAGGAGCCATCAAAATGTGTTAACTGCTTAGTATTTGCAGCCAGTCAGAATCAACAGCAAAACTCTCAAATTCCATTAGGTCACCAAGATGATAGCAAGCCTTTTATTTATTCTCCTTATCCCTAAACCAAAAAAAAAACCAACCAAACCCAAAAACTAATTCCTTATCTTGTGAACATTGCTCATTCACACTACGCAATAAACAAGATGGGTCTATACTGAACTTATCTAGATTTCTCTCAAACCAAAGAAAACCCTATCAACTGGAAAACAAGCCATTTTAGATCAGCAAAAACCTGCAAAAAAATGCCAGTAGGCAGTAAGCTAGCTTCTGTATTATCAAATTGACAAATTAAAGAAGCTATAATGTTCACTCTATACAACCCAGATCATGCCATTTTGGCTCCTTTTAAAAACACTTTAAATTACCCATCCAGCTTCCATTAGTAAGACATTTAGAACTGCAGGAGGCTAAGGTTGTTTCTCAGAGCCAAATCCAGTGCCCATACACTGGATGTTTATTGCATGTTGTTTACAGCAAACTTTAAAAGAAACATGAAAACAAATTAATAACAACTCACCTCATAAGAAACAGTAGTGAGAGGCCAGAGTTACTTTAGAGAAAAGGACAAAAGAAAATGAATGCAATTTGTTAACCTCGAAGTAAACATTTGTATCACAACATATGTTGGAGGTTTTATCTTTATTTTCCTTTTTATTTTGGTTATCCTTGGACATTTTATTATAAGTTACATTTTTTACAGAATGGTTTTTTCAACAATGCTTTTAGAAATGAGGACTAAAAGATGAGTGTTGTCTCTATGCAAATCTCAGCATTTACCATTTACAAGAAAATATAAAGTAGGAATTATGCAATGCATGCAATGAAAAGAGAATATAGCTGAGAAAAAAAAAATCTGTGCATAGCAGCCCTTCCTTGCCAAAAAATCACTTTTTAAACATAAAAAAATTAATTAACATAAACACACACACGAAAAAAATAGGAATCACACTCCTTACTTCTGTAATTAGTTTTTTTTAAAGACAGAAACTGCACTACAGAAATATCTCTTATTCTGCAAAACAGGTCAGAATAGGTTTTTGTTAAATATGAATCCTGTTGCCATTTTTTTTTCTGTTTGGTTCTTTCTATTTCTATTATTCTGTATAAAATAATTGTCATTTCTACATCACTAATCTAATATCTAGAACAATAGAACTCTTTCAAAAATTAAATTTTGCATCATCCCTCAGAGTGACTAAGCATTAATCTCAGTTATTCTTAATTAATTTATTGTTGCAGCGCTGTAAGGCACAGGGTTTCAGGTGTGTAATTATAACCAGAGTAAAGATGTAAGAAATTGGGGTTATAGTGGGAAAAGGAACAACAGTACTGAAGAAAATGTAGTATCTTGCAGATGTGACTGCGTGATAACCAGGCAGCCTGACTGATACTTTGAGATGTCTAGTGTCCACTAGACTTTTAGTTACATCATTAGGCCTGCTATTAACTCAAAACAGACCCATATTAACATTCTGCAAAAAGGAGTCAGCAATTCCGAAGTCTGTAAAATCTCCCCTTCTCCTAGAAATAAAGAAAAAAAAGGATATTCAGCATTCAAAAGTAGGGAGCTTAAGCACAGAATCTATTCAGTACCATTGAAGTTTTTTCTCAGTTTTGGACTGCTGTCGCTATTTGAGAAGATAGCACCATTAAGAGAACTGTACCAAGAATAAACTGCTATATGTAGATATCTATAACTTGCCAGATCTTTTGGTAATGTTAAAATGTGAGAAAGGTTGATTTTCTGAGACACCAGTTCTGGTGATATATAGAATATTCTGCTTTAGGAAGTGAGTAAACAGGATGTTTTTAAAAAGCAGCATTCTGAATTTGGAATGTTTACTTCCCTTCACCTCACAGAGATAAAAGAGCATCAAATGAAACAGAGTGCTTTAAATTCTTATGCTGTCACCTGGAGATGCTCTGATCCAACACTTCTCCAGAGCTCTGTTGTCTTATGGTTATAAGTTTTGGGTAAACAGTATGGAGAATAGTGACTTTAGTATACCTATAGATCAACTCAGTAACATGTTCTTACTCCAAGGAGTCAGCAGCACAACTCAATAAAAAAAGTGTAAAACCCTGATGCCTCTGGTTTAGGATATCTTGAGAGATCTGGACATCTGGAACCATAAAGCTGCCAGAAGTAGGCTAATGCTTTTGCTTGGCAGAAGGCAATTAAAAGGAAAGCTTTCTGTGAAGCTGCCAGCATTTTGAAAATGTTCAGCCAACAAAGTGGTGAAGAGATCTTCACCTTGATACTGAGTTTTGACATCTCATTACTGATAGTCATTTGGTAACTGTGTGCTCTGGTGCCTACAATCTCAAACATAACGGAAATTATAATTTATTTAGGTACAGCCCTGGATCAGAGGGTGACTCAAGCAGAAATCTAGGGCAGCCCTGGAAATAATACATAGAGGGGGGAAAAGAAATAAGACTGGTAGGAGAAAACAACTGTTGACAGTAACTACAGGTAGAAATACACGGTTATTGCTAGCTCTGCAGAATTTAGTGGGTGTTCCTTCAACTGCGCTGTTGAACTACTGATAAAGGAAGACATGACAAAACCACCAGGCTAAATCAAACACTGAAAGATGTAGAGCATCAGAATATTTCAGGGATTCGTGTATTTAATTACAAAACACACAGAATAAGTTACAGCTGTCAATTTTAAAGCATCAGTTTAGCACCAGTAAATTACAGATCTTCTTGTGAAATACCATATACGTTTTTTCCTGCACTCATTGAATCTGGATATACTAACCATTGGACTGTAATGAATGTTACAAACTGCTGGGTTTTTTCCCCTCAAACACATGTGAAGTTATGTTAGGCTTTGAAAAAAATATCTTTGACTGCAATATCTGATATTTTTCACAAAGAACATAAGAAAAAGTTTCCCTAAGATACTCTAGTTTGTGAACCTTTTAAGCTTCCTTAAACAGGCATAAAAAATTTGTTGTGTTTCTGTTTTCATGTTCTCATTCCCAGACAAAATATCTTTACACACTCACTTTTTGCTCTCTAACGTCTTGTCCTCATTGTAGTTACTCTTAATGTTCACTACAGAATAAAAGACTGAAATTAAGCCCATTATATATACATTCATATTAGCAGATGAGATTTCAGGTGTGACTTAGAGCAATAGAGTGTTACAGGGAAGAAACTCTTCAGAGCATTCAGCAGCCTCAGAAGTTTAGCAGGATGACTTTAAATCACCAGTGCCCTCTGCTGCTCTGTGGTTGGTCTTTTATTTTGTGTTGTTTTTCCATTCAGCCAGGTATAACTTTGACAGTACTCCAAGCCTTCCTTAATTACTGCTTCCTTACAGGCTGATTCATGGGTACTACGATGCACAGAATTTTGTCCCTGTGGGACTATACAGCCTCTCAACTCCAGCACTGACATGGGTGAATTGCTGAGGCAGGACATAAGACAACAGCCTGAGAGCCAGAGCTATCGCTGCCCTGCACCACTGCTCTGGCAGGAATGCTCATCCTTGCCAAAAGCAGGAAATCACAAGGTTTTCAAGGAATTTTCCTGCTTGCCCCTAAAGATCTGGAATAGAAAGAGAAGGTTGTTTCTGCTTTAGCCTAGCAGGCTGAGTTTTGAGGAAAGATTCTGTATAGCAGATAGACTAAATCTAATAACATGAAATATGAAAGAGAAAATATGAGTAGTTACAATTTCATCAGCTGCACAGTGTAATACCTACCTAGGGGGAAAATCAATCAGCTAGTGTCTGATCAGTGCTTTCTTGATAGCATTAGCTATGTGAGTTATACAACCTCTGGAGATAGTGCTTCTTTTCCTTACCTGTGTAATTCATTTATTAGCCTAAATTTACAGCTGTCAGCATCGATTTAGAGCACCAAATCTAAATGAACACACATTCTGTGGATTCCAAGGACAGAAAGCTAAAAGCCTGAGATGAAGGTAACAAATTTTTACATAGAACAGATAACTAATTTCTATTTCATTTATATAAGCATAAAAATAATTGAATTCCTGTCTGGCCAGGAGTTCTGAATTTGGTTTCCATTTCCCTTCCTCCTTAAGGGTAGTATATAACCCCTGATATGATGCAGTAACTCTACAGTACTCAAAACTGGGGACATAGTCAACTTAAAGTAAAAGGAGGTGCAGTTTTTTGTGTCTGTAGTCTACTGTTTTATGCATGTCCAAATTCCTTCTGCACATTCACTTCTCTGTACAGTTGACCACATATGATGTAGGACATTCCGAACTTGTCTGACAGACAAAATAACGATAATTCCAATATTTACTTGGTATGGCCTTTATGTAAAGGTATAAAAGAAGCCAAAAAATCTTATTATTCTATTGGGATAACTATTCAATTGACTCATAAAGTAATATGGTTCCTGCCTTAAAGTAGCTTACAAGCCAATTAAGGCTTAATTGAGCAAGTAGGACAATGGCAGAGGGAATAGGAGACAGCTTGGGCTCTCCCTGATTTGTTTGAACTAGTGTCCTCTGCTTTCCCTTCAGATATGGATGTTTAAGGAATGGGCAGAAGCCTTGATTTCTTGGCAAGGAAGGGCTGCTATGCACAGACCCTGCTTGCACACTTCTGGAGAGAGACACTGGTTCCTGTTCTTCATGTTTTACGAGTTAATGGGCACTGTGGTAAGTAGATGCTGTGATGTCTATTCTGCTCCAGCTGTCCTCTGCGGGGACCTGATAGTTTGCAGCACAGGGCCCAAATCATAATAAAAAAGCAGTCTTTCTGTCCAAGGCTGACCATGTCCCAGAACTGCAGTGTGGGATGTGTGTGTGGCTATCATGTATCATTTAATTTGGCCATTCTACAGCAAGACAACCCTCCAATAAGAGGTTTCATGCTTCCTTTTGAAAGGAAAGGATTTATTTTATTCATTCTCCAAAGCTGAGATGCAACCTCTCCTATGCACCATGATTTGGTCCTTGTGGCAGTGCCAGATCACTGCAATAAAATGTTATCAGGTTACACAGCAAAATGCAAATTATAAACTACATTCAGTATGCCAGAGGACATATAAAGTGCCACAAGTGGTATTGAGTGACTATGCTTTATGAAGAAAAATACTCTGATTTGTGAAAAGTATTCTCATTTATGAAAAGTAGTAGGAGGCTCAGTAACTCAGGCTGGTTACTCCAATGGAAAACAAAACAGAGAACATAACCCTTGCTTGCATTTGAACAGACAGCCAACATGTAATAATTGCCATGCTGATTGGAGCTAGTATTAGAGAATGAAACTGAATTAATATAGTCCATTCTTTGGTCAAGAATTCAAGCATTCATTTAATGTTTGCATGCTTGAGGACCATTCAGGTTAGATATGGAAAAAACTCCATGCTTCCTGACAAGTCTGACTGCTCAATTATAGACTGTTTTTTGACAGTATGGATCATAGATTTGTGATACTTTTGCTTGTCTCAGGATTTAATAGCCAGACAGTTCATGTTGTGAACATTGTAATAGCCTAGTATTTTGCATCAGTACTTTGACAAAGGAGAAGATGGCTGTTGTCAGCATATGTATCACAACAATACTACTCTTTTCATTGATACCAGCCTTTACCGTGCCTATTTGTTCATGTTGAAAATCACTTAAATATGAAAGCATTTTTTCCCCCACAGGTGAAACCTGTACTCTTCCAAAAGAGACAGAAGAAAAAAAGTGGGGAAAAAAAGTGAAGGAAAGAAGAAAAAAAGGGTGTTAAAGGGAAGACAAGTTCTGAGAGCAAGAAAATAAGTAACTAGTGTCTTATAGTCCTTCAAAAGTAAGTTATTTAGTGTGGGAAGAAGTTCTGCTTACTTCTCTTGCCAAAAAAAAAAATAAATTATGTCTTCAGGCATTTTCAGTTTCTGTCTTTGTTTCATCAGATACATGCTAGAATTTTAAACCTGCGCAAGACCCAGACCTTTTTCCTCCAGTTACACTCCAGTCTTCTCACGCTGATTTCTGAGCTTAATCTGACAGTGAGTTTCACTGCAAGAGACAGATAGTTGCAGAGGGAGAGCAGTTCAGAAGTCGATGTTTAAATACATAGGCAGAATGTAGAGCTGTAAGTGAATTACTGTACTATGAATAGGGCACTTCATGAAACAAGTACACATTGTGAAAGACTTGGGAAAAGTGCCCCAACAATTTGATCAGTTTCTTGAAAGACATTGGGAATTCCTTTCCAATTTTGAGGAATGTCCTTAAACACATTAAAATGCTTGGCCTTTCAAACATCCAATGCCATGCAAACCTGGCAGGGTTCTTCTTGAAAGCACAAGGACAACAAAGACTGATATGAAACTCAAATAACAGAAGTTTTTTTATCTCTTCTGTTTTTCAAGAGGAAGGCTAATAAAATCCTCTGAGGCTATTATGATCTTCCATGCAAAGAAGGAAAGCTCTCAAGGTTTCTAATGTGAAGAAACAGCTCATTATTTCTAGTGGTGTTTTATATGGTATACACCTGTATTTATGTATTTACTTCAAGTCACATGATGTATCATATGTACAGTACACCATTATCCCTCTAAGATTAGTAGGATTTGATGGAGAACTTAACTTTCCATCAATGTTAACAGCAAGTATTCTAATTCTGTCAAAAGATAAAAAAATACCAACAATTTTTATTTCATGGAAATGGGAATGGTCTCAACACTCACTCTACTGTTAATCACTTCCATCCATGTTTATAAAGGCTATTGTTATTGTGTTACCCTTCACTTGGTCTCACCTCTATTTTTCCAGCATGTTTTTTCTTGAATGCCCACCTTTTTCTTGCCAGTAACAGTTGAAGCCATTCCCTTAGTTCAAACTCCTTGTCACGCTACCTCCTGCCCTATATTTGACTTCTTATTGAGCTCAGTGTCCTCCCTCAAAGCTTCCTCTTGTTTTCAGTCTCTGTCTTAGACCTTTAATTTGTATTGACTCACAGTATGGTTGCTGTGAGCTCTGCACCTGCTCCTATCCCATATTGATGGCTAAATTCTTACAGATGACTGTTTCTAGGGGAGACTCGGGCTGAAACTTAAAAATAACAGAAGAGTAGCTATGCAGTGCTGACTCGAGCCTACACATTCAACAGCTGCCAGTCCAGTTTGACTTGAAAATTTTACCACTCAATTACTGACCTAAAATCTAGGCATACTCAGGCTTCCCTCAGTTTAGCCAAGTCAGCACCTGCACGAACAACATTAGCCTGCTAGTAACTGCAGCTACATTTAATTCTCTGTATGCCCAAATGACAGTAAATGTTGACAATTTACTTGGATATAAGCACAGTGCTTGTGGGCTACCTAAGGCTAACGCCAGGAAAAAAAACAAAGTGGATATTTTGCANGGCTGCAGCCTTCACTGGACAACAGAGGCTCTATCACAGCCTTGTTGGCAGAGAGTGTCTTGTGGAGGTAACAATGAGAGAAATTTTCCAGTTTCCCAGAAAGACAAAATCAAAACCATAACCTTCCCGTCTTCCTCCCCAAATACCAAATTATTTTGTCTTTTATTGAAAAAAAAAACACTGAAGAAGGTAAAGCATGAAAAATTTTGTAGGAAAAAAAAGGTTCAGTTTTTCTCTGTAACCTGGATGTGTTAGAAGAATTATCTTCATCACCACTACTTCATTTTGTAAGAAATTCATACAAAACAACCCTGTACTGTCTCTGTTGCATGACTCTAAAACTTGTAAGTTCGATTATAGCTCAATACCATTGTAGCTCAAAATTTGTATCAACCATATGATCATGAATGCAGACAGCTTTAATTACTTTAACAAAGAACAGGTGTGTTGTTTTGGGGCTCCCATTTGCTTCTCATTAATGATTAACAATCTCATAAGACCAACAAATTAATAAAAAATAGTTATTGGCTAATAAATACTAATAAAGGGAAACTTTTTAACATTTTCTTTGCATTTTATATTGCTGAGGATGTTATTTATCTATTATTTTGCTTCACAGCAGTGAAAAATCAGTTTTTAGGCAGCAACAGCCTTCTTGAAGAAATTAAATTATACTCGATGAAAATCAAATATTTTTAGCATGCAGGCAATCAGGTATATTGGCCATATTTTATAAAAACATTAATTTCTCTAGATAATTATTGTAGCTATTGTCCAGCTTGTTAAGGATTTGACTGAGCTAAAGCTATAGAGCAATATAAAGCAATTTGCTCTAGATGCTTAAACAATTATAGCTGCTACTTCCTTCCTATTCCCCAATGTTAAACATTAATTCCTTTCATAAATTGCACTCTTAAATTAGAGATGAGTCATGGCTTTATTTTATTAACCAAACTCTACTACACTTCTTCTTCAGAAAACTTTTATGCTTCAGTACTTTTGGTTTTTTAAGTGGAGATTTGCACATATTGATAACTGCAGTCCACTACCATGAAAATATATTGATAATAAATTCTTAGGTTGTAAATTAATATAGATTACAGTTACAAAATTTTCAGACTAAAATGTTTCAATTGTGAAAATCTATTCAATATATTTTCCTTAAAAAATACTACAGCCATTATTTCAAATGAAGCCTCAACCCTTCAACATTTGTTTGGATGCAGACTTGGTAGAATTTAAACTTTTACCTTATATTGAAATATAACATTTTATTTCATGTACTTGTACTTATTGCCTGTGATAGGGAAAGCATAGTTTGAGTTTGAACCAATAAAACAGCAAAAGAACACAACAAATCCTTTGGAAAAAAAGAACAGTAATGACAATGAGACTCTGACAAATCTCACTAAACTGATATATTAACATATGGAAGTCATTAGGAAACATACCCATGCTGTAAAATCTGGAAATACACAGATTCTTCACATTGGTACTCATCAATTTTTATTTATTGCCTAATGAATGCTCAAAATTTATAAAGCCTATTATCTTCAGTTTTAGAGATAACAATATATAAACACAAAGCTTGAATTCTATCCTTGGTGGACATAATAGAAAGTCACTTGGCTGAAATACTGACAAGGCCATGAAAACACTTTAAAAGTTGTGACAAAAAAGACAATGTATAATAATAAAATGGAACTTTTTAAAAATTTATTGCTTATACAGAGGAATCTCTTAATATATCTTAAGATCCTTATAAAAGTTGTTGGGTTTACAAGGTCAAAATGATTAAAAATAACACAGTGAGGAGACTAAAGAGACAGGAAAAAGCTAAGTGATTTATTTGTTTTGTTTTGCAAAGAGAGAATGGGGAGGAAATATCTTGTTTAGTGCTGATCTTTAAAGATAATGAAGGTGAAGCACTGTCAAACACAGAGACATAAAAGAATAAGATAGAAGAACTCCAGAAACTGTAGTAACATAAATTATTTGAGCATGATGCCAGAGCTCTGCAGAAACTTCTGAGCATTCGTGCAGTATCATTGGACATTTTCTGTATGCATAGTGAGGGATAGGAGCCTCCAAGGCCATATCCTGGTCTTTTAATCTACCTAATAAAGATGATACTCATTTCATTTATTACAAAAGAGACAAGTTCTTCACAATATATAGCAAAGTAGATTCAAGGAATACAAGTGTAAAGAAAAATGCTTTCCTGGATATAAACTGAACATAAGACCAAAGTAGGAGCGATCAGTGCTCAGTAGAGGGATGGACTAACAGTGTTAAGTGAGTAGTGAAGACAATCTTCCAGAAATTTCTGTTTTAAAGCTGTAATTAGCTCATTTCAGATCTGCTAGCACCCTTTTGAATTATGCTTTTATTTCCCCAGCATGAATGGTATAGAGAACTCAGTTATGAAGCCGTTAGTGTAAATTCACCCTCTCAGAGCAGTTTCAACACCTCTTCCTGCAGAAACGCTTCACAGCATTGCGGAGACCACCCACCGCCAGGCAGCCACAATTAGCCAGCACACCACATGGCTCATACCTCTGATTTCCAGCCCAAAGCTCACACTATCCTCATATTCCTTTCCCCAGTAGCAAAAACCACAGCACTTGTGGAAAGGCAACAACAGGAGGTAGACAGTGCAGCTGGGGACCGAGTCCAACCCCACCTCCAAACCACCATTTTCATCCAAGATGGTTTCAGTCACAGGTAGGCAATAGGGTAGTCTAGGTTCACTCATTGTCCTACTGGCAGCAAGACCTTCATCTGCCATGACCATTCGATTTCTTCTTCTCTCCCTAGAAGGAGTTAAAACATCTCCGTAGCACAGCTCAGCACTAAGAGCATGGCTCAAAGCAGTCGAGTGAAATGAGTATAGGTGGATCCTGCATAGGCAGAACAAAATAAATAAAACAAAATAGATATTTTCTTGATGAGCATTTGTGAAAATCTTAAGCTACAGGATTATTTTTTAACAGAACTTTTTAATCATTTTTAATCACTGCTTTTCAGAAACTGCTTTTAGAGAATTATGCAAATCACTGTGAAAACTTTGCTTGCTGTTATTGACTTATGAAACTCAATTCTTCTTGGGGTTTTTGAGGTAAAAGGAATTTCTCAAACAACTAATGTTTATAGCAGCATGTTGATAACTTGCCCATGATAAACGTGCTCAAATGCTTCAGAATACAGTCACCAGCTGAAATCACAGAACATGCTGAATCACAGAATATGCTGAGTTGTAAGAGATCATCCCGCAAGGATCATCGAGTCCAACTCTTGGCCCTGATCAGACCATTTCCAAGCAACACATCATGTACCCAAGAGTATTGTCCAAATGCTTCTTGAACTCTGTCAGGGTTGGTGCTGCAACCACTTCTCTGGGGAACC